ACGAGCAAACGTGCTCAGTGAGCCAAGCCAACGGGCGAAGTGATTAATTTACTTCGAGCGGGCACGCATCTTTCTGCGCTTGCGCTTCAGGCGTCTGGTACGCTTCTTCTTCCACTTGTCTCTCATCTACAAAAGGATACACGTGTTTAGATAAAAGGCTCATCCATGCATGCACGTATCCCGCTTCCTCCCCAAACCCGCGCCCGTCGTTGGTAGCCGCTCTTCCGTCAATGGATACGATCGATTCGCAGTCCAAAAATAAATGGCGATAGATTCGTACCTTTGTTGATTTTTAGGATGAAAAAGAGAATGAGAGAGATCAATCAGCTTCCCCGCGTCAGACTGCTCCTTTATAGATCCCATCACGTGCACTAATCTGTGGAGATTGGATTACCCATTTGCTGATCTGCCAATGGTCTGCTTTGCTGCTGTGCCTCGTTGGGTCAACAACGCCATGCTGTTCGGGGATCACGAACCGCTGGATCCCTCCTAGAAGCGTGCAACAAAAAACATATCTTTTGAGCGGGATCCTGCAGGCCTGGAGCCATGGTGGTGCTCTCTTGCCAATGCCAGCAAGATACGCTCGAACAGCGCGCTATCCTCAAGCTATAGCGAGAACAAATGTATTTGCTACACATTTCACGCCTGCGACCTAAACACCATCGGTCTCAGTGGTGCTGCAAGGCCCGACCGCTGCTACTTCTGAGGGGCTGCCGTCTGGACTGGTGGGGCCCGTACTGCTGCCTGTTGCTGCTGCTGCATTGCCGATCTAGGCCGTGGTCCGCCGCTGTGCGCTTGCGAAAGAAGCTCGCGCAGCCTCCTCACGTGTGCCTCATACTGTTCATACAGACGTGCCTCCAGCAGACTGCTGGCTCGCCCTGAGCTGCCTCCAACACGACCACCATTGTGTCCGTCGCTGTTGCTGTAAATAAGCTCCAGCAGCTGGCGGTAGTTTTCTAGCGAGAACATGGCTCCATTGTCTGCGATATGCTTGAGAATTCCGTCTGCGCCGAGGTTGTACAGCTCATAGAACTTGAGCGCCCGATCCAGTCCGCCCTCTTCCGGCAGCGCAATGTTGGTCAGGTTCTGCTGCAGAGCCAGGATGTTGCGCGTCATCTTGCGACTTCCCGATTCGTTGTAGTGCCGGATATGCCGGATGTTCGTGATCAGAGTGTGTGCCATCAGGATCGAGATACCGCCAAACACCAGGTTTAGGCGGTCTGCTGGCAAGCAGCTCTCCATCTTCTCCTCGATCGTAGAAATGTCGGCGTTGAGTGACTGGATGTATGTGTCGGGCTCCATCGAGTTGGCAATCAAGGCCGATGCGTAGTCTCCCTCGCGCGTGGCAAGATCCAGATAATACGTACAGTGTGCGCGCACCTCGATACGCAGCACAATCAGACACTTGACCGACAGCCGGTGGTACTTGTCGACCAGCTCAGCCCGGTCAGCCTCGTGCTTCTTGAGCAGTGCCGCGGCAGTCGCCTTCTCGTGGTTCTTGGCCAAAACCTTGGCGCGGTCTTCCGAGATCTTGGTCAGCTGCATCAGCAGCCACTCGAGTGTCTGATGCAGCTGCGCAAGCGTCACCAGCCGCTTGACATCAAAGATAAGCTCGTCAATGCTCAGCGACCGCTCTGTACGCAGGCTCTCCTCGAGCCGGATCTCGTTGTCCGTATCGACTGCCAGCTGTGACTTGTTCTGGGCACCAATAAGCTTGATTCGTCTGTCAAATAGCTGCAAAAACTCGTCGGAATTTGCCCATTTGACGCTGGTGTACTCGGAATTCTTGTTGTGGACTGTCTCCAGGAACAGCCGATTGCAGCACTCGTAGAATCTGCCAGACATCTGCAGCAGAATATTCCAGTTCTCGCCGCGTAGAAGGTTCAGGCTGTTGAGCAGCCGGCTGAAGCTGCGGAACAGCGGTACCAGAACAGCGGCACTGCGGAATATCGGTCGCCCATTCCAGTGCGTATTCAAGTCGACCTGGAACGCATCGCTGGAGGTGGTGATCGCGTCAAACTTGCGCATTGCATGTGCTTCAGCACACGGCAAAAAAACGCTCTTGAAGAAAATATGCAAGTATTCCTCAGCCTCAGGCTCCTTGTTCGGGGACCCAGACCCAGGCACCTGCATCGACATGCGGTTCTGCGACGCCTGGTCGCCAGCAAGCATGCTGCGGCGCGCCATTGCTGCTGTCAGAGCCGTGGCCAGCATGGGCCGGATGCGTCGGGTGAACTGCAACGCCAGATTGAGCATCGTCGGCGCATGGTCGATGTTGGCAGGCACCAGCATCGTGTGCTGCAGCCCGTTCTGCTGGTCCGAGTACTCGTCCACAACTGTTGTGAGGCCAATATCCTTACGCTTGCCAGCAATCGATACAGTCATATCCTGGAAGCGGCTTTCGATCTGCGCGTACATGGATTCAACTGCGCTCGCCATCTCGTCAGTGCTCTCCATATGGAACAGGTCCTTCATTCCTGACCGCATGCCGCTGGTACGCGTGATATCGACATTGCTCAGGGCCTGAGTATCGACTGGTACCAGGTAGTCTTTAAGAATTGACAGGATCTCGGTTTTCATGGCACTCCACACATCCAAGATTGTGTACAGCCGCGTGCGCCGTGACCGATCGCCCAGCACGCCATTACTGGTACCTGGCGAAGCAACTATTGAATACCGTTCGCGGCGGTCCATGCTATGCATAACGTCAAGCACAAAGTCGTGGTACTCGAGTACAGTTTCAAGTCGGGCAAACAGTATGCGTGCAAAGTCAATCAAGATTTCGCGGTCCGTGTCCTGGCCCATGGTCTCCTCCTGGGACTGCTGCTGCTGGTTGCTACTGCTGCTCGTCTTTGTAATCAGCGCCCGGTTGCGCTCTTCGACTTCGGCTACGATACCATCGATCAGACGAGACAACTCCAGGCTGACCGAGCTCTTGATCTCCTGCATTGCTTCGCTCGTGTTGTCGAGCGTAACCAGGCTCTCCAGAAGCATCTCGACGTATGCAAACGAGTCAGCCTCAGGGTTGTCCTCATCGCCGCTATCGTTGGCAGAATTGCCTTTGGCAGTGGCACCCTTTGCACGCCTGCCATCACGTCTACCTGCCTTGCGTGGCTTTGCGCTACCGCTACCGGTATTGCTGCCGTCGACTGCTTCCTCAGAGCCCTCATCGTCCTCGCCCTCGGTACCCATCTTGCGCTCGCAGTATGGGCTCTTCAAGTAAATGTGGCTGTGCAGCTCATCGATAATAATCTGTAGCAAGTCTGCCTTCTCCTTCTCCAGCTGCTGACGCAGCCCAGCCAGCGCGTCAATCGGATTCAGTTCCGGGTCCAACACAAACTGCATGTCTTCCACAAGTTTGCTGACAGCAGTCAGGAACTTCTTCTCGCGCACGTACCCTGCGATCTCCTCGGGCAACCTCTTGATCTCCTCCAGGCGATCCAGGATGGCCACAATCGACCCCAGTTGGTTGCTCTTGGTGTACAGCTGGTCTAGGCTGCTGCGCTCCTCCGTAATCATGCGCCGTACTTTGTACAAGTTGTTCTTGACGTGGTTGACCGAGCCTGACGCGCCCTGGATCTTGTCGTGCAACCCGCTGAACGTCAGAATCGAGTTGTTGAACCCACCATAGTATTCATTCACAATGCCGTCCAAAGACTCATTCAAGAGCATGTGGTACTGCTGGAATTCGTCGTAGCTCTTTCCTAGCGAGCTTGAGTCCATCATCTCCAATGCAAGCGAGACCGGATTAAAGTCCTGGCGCTTCAGCCCCTCGAGGCTCCGAGGAAGTTGCCAAATTGCATCTACAGAAAATGTGAATTGCCAATTAGTCTAGATGCCTGGAGAAAAGGCATTCACCCTGGGTAGTGTTCGAAAAGCACACGCTAGTGCTTGCAGACTTGTACCTTCTGCCTGGCGCAAGGCAAGCTCTTTGCGCTCCTCACTGGACGCTATTTCATCTTCAGGCAGTCGTCCAAACTGTGATTGCTGCTGCTGGAACCGCTGTCGATTAGATTGCTGGCGGTGCATTAGTGCAGAAAAATATATTATATTTGTCTAAAAATGTGGAAAAGCGTAAAAGAACAAGTGACACGACACACCCAAGAATGCAGCGATTTTCGCTGCTGAAATGATGCTGGCCCCTTACCCTAGACACTAGACAGCCGGGTTTACCGCCTGAACCCAGCATGCACTCGGGGAAGCAGTCAACCTTCGCCCAAGTAGAAGAAGTTATAGCAAGAGATCGGTATGATTACCTCACCGCCTTTTGCTAACTCCGCTGCCTTTCACTGGATATGGTTGCCTCTTTAACGTAAATTTTGCAACTTGAACCTACAGAAGGAAATCTAGGTAGAGAGGTTAGTACCGTTGCGCAGCTGGTGATGGCAATCATGGTGACACCATGTTAGTTGCCACGTCAACCAACAGCGAGAGCGGCTCCCACGCTGAATTGATGGAGATATCCTGTGGAAGCCTGTGATTATTACAATCACAGCCTGCAGCCCTGGCTTCGCCGATGCGCCCAGATACTGCATAACGACGAAATCTTCAAAGAGGGTAGCGCGCGGCATCCATAGTTTTTTTTCTCCCTTCTCTCGCCTCCTTTTTTCGCTAGTTTTGCAACCCCATATATCTGAAACCACACATAGCAAATGGTAATGGAACTACGTATCATATATGTTTGCAATATTGACACATCACAACACTAGATATTTTGCCAAACATGGACATCAACTTGTTGGAAAACTGTAAGCATTGATTGCTTCAATGTATATTCATTCAATTGTTTTCTTGCGCTCCTTGCCAAGATCGACATGTCTAATTGCTGAACAGAATATGACCAATATTCCACTAAATGCAGCAGCTACGTAAAACGCACTGTGCATGCTGTCAGCCCAAAGATGGATGATTCTTGACTGGATATCGTGCGGAATAGTATCACTGTAAATGTTGCGCTGGTCTCCAAGAGTAGACGCTATATCTGACGCATGCGTAGGGAATTCGTTCACCAAGCCGGTGATACCTGTCTTGATGCGGCTGTCCAGGATCGAAGTCATAATGCTGGTAGCCAGGATTCCACCCAGTGTTCGAATGAAGGCAAATGATGTTGTCACTGTTGCCATGTGCCTGCCAGAAACACTAGCTTGACAGACAATTAAAGCTGGCTGAGATATGAAACCAATGCCAAGACCAGCTAGAAATAGATAGATAACTCGCTCTGCCATTCCAGTGCTCGCTTTGTACAGCAAAAGTAAGGACGCACCAGCTGCAGCAAGGACTGCACCAACACGAATCGGTATGAGGAATCGACCAGTTCTGGTCATGTATATACCACACAGAGGCGATGCCAATACAACCCCAAGGGCCATAGGAAGAATATGCAATCCACCTGATATAGTTGACGCGTGCTTGATCGCGAGTTCCCAGGTAGGAATGACATTTGACAGACCATACATGACCCCACCTGTGGCAAATACCCCCCCTAAGGCTGCAAGGACATTGTGGTTTCCTAGGAGACGTACTGGGATGATTGGGTCAGCAACAAAGCGGTACTCGACATATCCAAACACAAGCAGTACGACAAATCCGCAAATGAGACACGCCAGGACCTGCGCCGATGTCCACTCGTACTGCTGGCCACCCCAAGACAGTCCAAGCAAAATAGGAACCATCCCAATGGTGAACAACACACAGCCGATAAAGTCAATGCGCTTGATTTTCTCCTTGAACGTTCCCTTGGTCTTTGGCAGCTTGAGCGTGAAGAAGATCAGGGCCATGGAAATGATGCAAATCGGAATATTGATCCAGAATACGATTCGCCATGAAGCATGCTCGACGATGCCGCCACCCATCACCGGTCCGACCACAGTGGCAATTCCCACTATAGCAGCAAATATACCAATATATTTGCCGCGTTCGCGCTCGCTGAAAATATCACCCAGCATTACTATCGTCAAACCCATACCCCCTCCACCGCCGATCCCCTGGATTGTGCGGCTGGCGATGAGCATGTTCATCGACTGCGATGCCCCGCAGAGAACGGAGCCAACCAAAAATATGGCGGTACAGGTAAGAGTTGTTTCGACACGGCCAAGGATGTCGCTGATTTTTCCGATAATCGCCTGTACAATCGTCGACGATAGCATGTACGTGGTGATGATCCAGACAGCCTGGCCTAGCGCGTCGAAATCACTGGCAACTGGTACATAAATGCTGGCCATGATAGTTGCATCCAGGGATGAAATGAATGAAAGTGAAGCTAAACTAGCAATTGCGCCAATAAGCTGCTTCTTGGAAAGCGTATATGAAGCCAAATCACCACCGGCTGCTTCGTTGGAAGCAACGGAACTACCACTGGCCGCTTCACTAGAGTGACTCTCTGCACCTGCACCAGCCTCAAGTGCTTTCTCGGAAATAGGCTGCTCATTGATATCTGGCACAGCTTCCATAGCGCCCGAATCCTGCACAGTGAGGGTCTCGTCGAGAGCGGTTTTAGTCCCGGTCTCGGTGACAGACATTATAGATTAGAGAATAAACTTGTAGGGGTGAAGAGTGAGGCTAAGCGTCAAGTTTCTTTCTTTTCAGCTGATATGCTGGCACTCTGCCTCCATGCAGTACTCAAGGGGCTACTCGTCCCATGCCTTGCTTATATCTTTTGTGTAGAGTGCTGAGGCCGAGAAACTTGAGTCCAACAGAAATGGCAAACAACCACACTATACAGTTCCTAACATTGTTCACTCGAATAGCGATTACTATATTGTGTGGACATCCAACAATTTGATTTCGCCACCAAACAAGTAAAATAGCACCCATGCAACAATGCCATATGCCGTTTTGTGGCGGTGGTTGCTTGGCCCACCCCTCTCCCTATTGTTAAAATGTTGACAACAGGGAATTAGCTGGCAGACATGCTGGTGCTCGCACAGGTTGAACCTTTGCTCAAAATACATGGAGGTAGCAGTCTCGTTGTTTGTCGAACGCTCGGCCATCAGTTTCAGGCGCTCTTCCCTGGCCTTTTCAAGCGACATGGGCCACTCAATGTGCTCGAACAAGCAGTCGTTGATTGTAAGAGGCAGGCTGCCAAATCGCGGGAGCTCGAACAGCTTCTCAGCCCACCAGTCCTGCTGCTGCGGGGGAACGACCTTGGTTGATGGGATCCTCATGGATGGATCGATGAGGAAAAATGCAAGGATCTTGCGGTGGCCAGGCTTCGACGGATCCTTGAGCTTGAAGCCAGAGACCTGGTGCTGGTAGATATTTGGGAAGCAAATGCAGCGACCGCTGAGTGCCTCAACGCTGCCGAGTTCTTGAGACAACATAGCATCTAGATTGCCATCCACTTCAATGCCATATCCAAGCCTTATTCCACGCTTATCACCTTGCTCATAGTGAATCAACCTCTTGATGGACTGACGGAAGTTGAGCCTGCTCTCTGTGATATTGTCGACATCGTAGTAGTAGATTCCCGTGGCAACGATATGCTCGTTGGCCATGGCTTCAACATGCCAGCTGCCTCCCTCGTACTCTGGCTTGTCTGGAGTCAGCACGATGTTCGACATCTTGACGATCGCCTGAAGGCGACAACTACGGAAGCTGAAGGCAGGAATAGGACGGTCTGGCATTTTGAACTCCTCTGGAGGAGGCGGAATGAACTCCCTGGTTTCTAGCCACCTTCTATACTCGTCGTCAAACCCAACCACATCACTTTCTCCTGAATCCGCGCCATCGCTTTCGACCAAGTCTGGGTTTCCATCTTCTGAAAATCACGCATATGGGTCAGGTACGACGCGGCGGCCACGCATAAACGCAAGATCCGTGACCACGTTCTCAAACATGGGCACGAAACGAGCAAAGATGTTTGCAATAGTTGGATACAGCCTTGCATGCCTCACAGGATGGAGGTTGTTGATGTACGACTCGACTTCGACCGAACCATCGTCGCGAACATGGAACTCACTAGGGAGCCAGCAGTATTGCCTCGACAAATAATCGCCGTCGACTGGAACGTTGCCCATACCTGAGTCTGCCGTTTCCTTGCGCCACTCATGAACACCGCACGGCCGACACTTGATAGTCAGCGGTTCCAGGGCGGCAGCTGGCGAGGCGATGGGCTGGCACAGGAAAGACCCGTCGTAAAAGAGTGGGTACAGCGACGGATGGATGAGGTTCAGCACCTGCTCGTTCGTGCTCGGGTGCCAGTCTTTCAGCTTGGCGTAGTAGTCGAGTTCTTCCAGAACATACTTGATTTCTAGATCAGTCAGACCCTGGCTTTTGGCCTCAGTAGTCCACTTCTGGCGAATCGCACCGTCCTGCATCTTGACGGTCTAGCCTGGCTTGGCCCTGATAGCACCGCTCATTGTGACCATACGCATCTCCATTACCGTGCGCATTTCAGTGTCCACTTTGGCGTACACAGCACCGCCGCCAAGCTTCTTATGGAGACATTTGAATAGTGTATTGATACTCATTGGAGGAGCAAAGGAGTAGAAAGACGGAATCCAGCGGAAGAAAAGAAGACAGTAAATGACTGGGCTTTGTCGTGCTTGTTTCTGAGTGATGGTCAAAGGGCATTTTATAGTCATTTTCATGGCAAATTATCCGCAGCCATTTTGCGCAGGTTCTGCGGCTTGAGCCGAGTTGCACATCCAGATCATCCATTCGGATATACGGGAACTGAAAGCGGTGCTTCTGAGCATTCGAATATTTATTCAGCAAACAAGGACCTCCACCAGCAGACTGGCACCGTCGCTTTGTGCGTCGCTGATCTGAATGGACTGTGTGTCCATGCTATGCGACTGAATGGCGTTCTCTTCGTCCCCATGATGCTGCGCAGCAACATCCTTGTAATATTGAACCCTGAGATGAAAGTGGATAGAGCTTTTTAAACTGTCCACAGAAATATACATGTCTTCAGGTTTACTCTCAGTACCATTTTGTGGATACTCCGGATGTTCCATCCAATCTTATGATGGATAATCTCCTTATATCCCCAGGATCCACTAAATATTATTTGAGAATTAATGAATAGACCTATATCAAATACCCAGCTAGGCGTACTCACTATATTAATGTCGACAAAACGAATATATTCAAGTTAAAAGTATGGAGCGGGAGCTACTATATCCACCGGCACACGCATAAATTTGTGCTAGAATCCAGGTCCCAATTAGGTCAGAGAGACGAAGGAGGAAAGCACCAGAAGGACAAGCACGGATCTCATGTTTAGACGAGAGCCAACATTAGCCTTGCTCTCAGTCACAGTGGTGGCCACAGTCACAGTGGCACCTTCAGTCTTGGGGGTGACATAAGTGGAAGAAGTGCCTGTAGTGGGGGAGCTGTCTCCGGAAGAAGCGCTGGTCCTAGTCGACAAGCTGCCCTCAGCCAGGGAACTGCCCTTGGGTGAGGAAAACTCCCCGGTGCGAGAATACTGAATAATGGCATTCTTCAGGTTTTCGATATCCTCGCGGGCGGGGTGGTTCCCGGGGCAGTTGAAGTCGCGGCAGTCGCTGCCATTGCAGCACGTGAAGATGTCGAAATTCTTGTTACAATCAATGTTGATATTGTTGACGTTCTTCCAAAGCAGATCAACCATGCCATCGTGCGCCATGAAGAAGGCAGAGTACTGGCCGTTGGCACGTCCGGGCTTGCAGGAAACCATTATTTCGTCTTAGATAGACTTGCTGCTGGTAGGGGGTTTAGAAATATTGTCCAAGAAGTGGATAAAGCTGTGACGAGCTGTGTTGCTTTGGTAATGTGGTACGATCAAGACGGTGGGTGGGCTCTGCCTGCTTTATACTGAAGCTGGTCTCTAAAATAAATGTTCTTTTTTGACCTACTCACCACACCTTTGGCAGGGTGCCCACACAGACCACAGTGAATGCGGAAGCCCTGAGAGGGAGAAGGAAAAATCGCCGCCCTTGCCAAAAATAAATTATCGCCAAGGTGGGCTTTAGAAAAAGCGAACATTCCAGTAATCTCCCTTAGTGAGATATGCAGAAAAGCGAAGGGCCTGCTAGAGTAAGATATCCCCAACAGGAAGCTCTATGGCCACCTATCTGAGCTGCTATGTGTAGTGTGGTTTGAAAATCAGGCTTGGCTGAGATTCTTTAGATCTCAAGACAAGAGCTCGCGGGGATTATATTTTTGGGTAGATTTATTCATAATTCATCAAGGACTGTGCATTTGCGGACTACCGAGACTACTACACTGGTGCTGCCATGGGGAGGTGTTCTATAGGCAATGTATCGGCCGACTTGGCATGCAGATTGCTTGCAGAACTGAATGCTCGAAATTGCCGCCGCAGTTACATTCAGGCCATTCATGGCAGTATCCTAGCTCCACATGTCAGTACCAGATCCATAGCTGGGTGATGAAATAAAGTTATACTGAGGATATGTTGATGAGCTTTGGATATAACATTGCTGCTCAAAGGACAGTAGTTTCAGGTAATCATATTATCAGCGATAGTAATGTATGTAGGCGGTGTTTGTAGCCCAATGGTTACCAAATAAACAGCGTACATGTAATAAAAACGAAAAATGTTGATAGTTATGAGTGTCATATGTAAATATTTAATAGCGACTCGGTTGGAAATGGCGGCTATTGGTTTTCAAGTAAATCCGGTTACTGACTACTGGCAATACGCTTATTGAGCTCACCATGCAAACGGTATACAAAGCGAATTGGTTGATCGATGAGTATTTCTGCCTTGGCTATATTAGGCATCCTGTCCATGATATAATCGCAGACGGCATCCTCATAGCTGTATTCCCGGTCATACAACCTATAGTAGAAGCTCCCGGTAAACGCAATGCTTTCTACACTAGTCCATTGGCCACCATCAAACCCCTGGTTCTGTAGGGTCTCGTGGAAGTAGAACAGCATGGTTAGTTGGACACCAACAACATACATTGCCTTTGCATTGCTGCACATGCCCGAGGACGTGATAAAGGGAATGTTGGATGCCCATTGGTATTTCTGGTGGGCCTCTTCGGTGGCTCGCTCGTTGGGCTTGGTTCTGCTCTGGACGATAATGGTCTGGGAAAGAGGGTGTTTCAGGACATCCATCCATAGGCGGCATACGCAGGCATAGTTAAGGAGCTCGTGGTACTTGAAAATGGTGAGCTCGTCAGTCATCACTTGATTGGCGAGTATGCCTAGTACACGGTATATGATATTGCCGTTTTCCAGTGTGTGAACATTAGAAATGCTTTGGACCATGGAGAGATACAAAAATACAATTGTGTGGGGCTAGTGTTGGTGGGAGTAGATTCGTGTAGTCATGGCTAGTTTTTTCTCAGCGCTCTCGAATATCAATGCATTATGAGATGCGGCTTGCATCACAATTTGCATTGTGATCAGCGTCGATAAGAAATGGAGCATCCTTACATATGGATCAAAAATTGTAGCCCATTACTGGGTTGATGTTGATATCAGGTATAAATGAACATTACTACACACAAAGTCAGCAAAACACCTGTTTTTTTTTAACAATGTCGATATCACCAATTGACCGTGCACCGCCGTGCCAGATGCCACTCATAGCCACTGACTGGCTGTACACGAACGAAGGCAACGAAAACATGGTGTTTGCATACACTGGTACCGACGAAACACTGCGCGGATGGCTACTGCGGTTGACAAAAAGCCCCGTAGGCAAGTGCACCGACATGCCTGAGCACCAGCAGCTCCACTACAAGCAAGATAGTATCGGGTACACAAGGCAGGTAGTCGGCAGTTTGATCGGCAGCGAGTATATTCTCCCGCAGCGTCTAGTATCGGTAACCAAGGAGTTCATAACGGCGCTGGGAGGGCTGGCGGAGGACTCACGGCCTAGCCACCGCAAACACCGGCAGATCGATACTGGGCAGCGCATTGCAGTGGTTACACCAAACATGATCGGACCCGGCATACTTACAGTGGAGGTGAAGCCCAAATGGGGGTATTTGCCTGACGCCGAGCAGATTTCGGCGGCGACGCAGGTAAAACGCACAGTTTGCCGGTACTGCATGCACCAGCGGCTGAAGCACACAGAGCGCATTAGCGGGTTCTGCCCACTGGACCTGTATTCAAACGACCAGCAGCGCGTACTGCAGGCGCTCGGGCATCTAGCCGAGTCACCACAAAACAACCTGCGTGTGTTCGCCGATGGCCGGCAAATCGAGCTTCCCAACAGCAAAACAGTCGACTGGAAAAAGACTAGCAAGGAGATAGCGCGGGTTTTGGAGCAGGAGGGGCTTCTTTTGCGGCTCAAGCAGCTGCAGCAGAGGCTGGACCGGTTCGACATTGAGGGTGTGTTTCCGATGTACCAGCGAGCACAAAGCGATGGCATATTTGTGAGCGGGCAGCCGGACATTGGCGACTGGGTTGAGGCAGAGCGGCGGTTTTTGGCACGTGCGGATGCCGACGTGTGTTCGGACAAACAGGCAGTTCTGGAGTTCCTGCTGGCAACGACGCTGAAGGACATTTCGGTTCTGATCCAGCTGGCTTCATCGGATGCTGCTGCAGACCAGCCTGGGGCAGGCGTTGTGTCATGGAAGACGGCTTCTGTTGCTGGACAGCACGTGCGGTACCGCATGGTGATCATCGACGCCGACCCAAAGAAGCTCTCCAAGCTGCCCGATTACCTGGCAAAGGACCAGGAGATTGTGTTAAATTACCTGCAAGTAGGTGAGGACAGAAGATGCGTTGAATAAAAGAAGAATAACTGTTAAAGTGTGTCTACGCGAGCCTGCGACGCGGGCCGCGGGTTGGCCGGCAACGGCGGCGGCAAACGTGCCGGAGCCAGACTCGTATCCTGAGTGCTGGTGGTAGCGCTGGACGACGACCGATCGCGACGGATAGCCTTTGTCATTTCGTACTTCATCTGGCTGGCCCTCAGCTCCAGCTGCTGGTCGACAAAGGCCGCCGCGTCCTTATCGTAGCGCAGCCGCAGCAGCCGCAGAATCACGTCGCTCTTGTCAGTGACCAGCATGTTCTGGCGACGCAGCTTGTTGGCAGTGGCGGCGTTGCGGTGGGCCCAAACGGAGCGGGTGCGCGCCAGGGTGGGCGTGGCGGGGCTGGGGAATACGGGCGTGCGGACCTCCTCGGTGTGCGAGGGCGTCGAGAGGTTCTCGCTGGACGAGTCGAAGCCGGTGGTGTAGCCGCTGAAGCGCGGGCGCGTCAGGTTATCGGTGTTGAGCGGATGCAGGTCCTGCTGCGTGGGGATAGGCGGCAGTGGCCGCTCGTACCGCGACAGGTCATCGAGTGTCGGTTGGGCGTTCAGCGCCGGCAGAGGTGGCTCGGCGGCTGGCTCGGCAGCCTGGGCAGCCTGGGCAGCCTGGGCACGCTCAGTGGATGCAGTGCGGGCGGTGGCAATGGCCGAGGCATGCAGCTCATGCATGTACTCCTCCATCAGCTCCTTGGTGGTCATAAAGTACATGTCGCGGACGACCTTGAGCTCGCGGAACTTGCGGCTCGTCAGGATTTCTTCGGAGATGCCGTCGTGGTCGTCACCCCCTTCAAAGTACCACTTTAGGAATTGCAGGCAGTCGAAGACGTTGTTGACGTCGGACTCGGTCAGCGGCTTGGCCAGGCCCTTGGCGCGGCCATGCAGTGGTGGCAACAGGATGTCTTCGAAGGCATTGAGGATCTCCTTCCAGACACGGGCAATCACGCCGTTGGCGGTGTCCACGTTGAGATCAAAGAACAGCACATGCAGGTTCTCCTCGAGATAGTCGATCAGCGGCAGCAGCGCCTCGTGGCAGCTCTCTTGGGTCACGCGTACGGTGGCGGGGCCGCTGTCGGACAGCTTCAGGAACTGGATGGAGCGCTCGATGGCCGACACGTTGCTGGCCAGGCGCGTGTGGCGGAAGCGCGGCTTCTGGACGACCAGAATCTGCCGCAGGTAGTCGCGGACGTACACCGCCAGCTGCTCGACGATGCGCTGCTGCAGGTCAGCCAGCGTGTGCTCGAGGCAGCGGAACATGCGGCCGCTGTAAAAGTCGACGTCGTCGCGCTCGCCATCAACGGTGACGCGCATCAGCAGGTGCCCAGCGGGCTCAAGGTCTAGCATAACGTCCTGTGTGCCCTCAGTCTGGCCAGCCATCTGCGGCGACAGCACAAAGTACCCGCGGCAGTGCACCTTCTCCTTGTGGCCCAGCCGCTTGGGGCCGTCACGTGTACATACCCGCACCTCAACCGGCGTAGCTTGCGGGGGTGCTGGTGGCCGGCAATGCCACGTCGAACGACTGGTTCCACCGCGGATTCATGGAGTTCAGTGCTACTGCGCGCGTCTTGCCGATTTTCTCGCGGTGGACTGAGCCGTCGTCGGTCTGCGACGCAATGCTCAGCTTGATGTACGGCTGCGCACTGGTATCCACCTGCACGTCGTGTGCACGCCGGTACAGCTCAAGGTTCTCCCCATGGACTACTTTGAGCGAGAACAGGAATCCGCTGGGTGCCGACGCCGTCAGTGACGGCCGTGTCTCGCCGCCCAGCGCGTCTGTCAGCTTGCGGATCTCCAGCTCGTCGTACAGCTCGTGCAGCCGGTCCATTGCCACTGCAAGATTGTTGAGCTTGACGCACGCATCGCCGCCCACCTGCAGCCCGGTGGCCTGGTCGAGCCGAGCTGCCGCTGCTTGCACCGCCGGGGCCACCGCCAGCGACTGCTCGCGGTATTTGCGGTTCAGCCGTACCCCGCCGAATCCATCGGAACGGCTGCCCGGCCGGTCCTCGGCTGACAGGCTCAGGCTGACCAGGAACTGCTTG